ACCGATCGGCTCTCCTTGCTGTGGGTTCGGGGAGAGTGTGTTTGGCTAGACCGGGCTGCTAACAGGATCATGCGGTTGATGATACGAATCCTGCATTACCTTAAGGATCCCAAACTATGGGAATTTTATAGTATATTCCCGAATATGGGTAATGCAGGATTGATATCACCAACCTTCTCCGCAGGGAGAAGTGAACCTAAACCCTATACCCTAAACCCTGAGCCCCAAACCCTAAACCCTAACTGAGGCTGGTGGATCGTTCTGGGGTCCCCGCCCCTATGAAGCTGGCGATCCATTACCAAGGCTTGGAGCGATCCGGTTTAGGGCTTTAGGGTTTTAGGGCTTTAGGGCTTTAGGGCTTTCGGGTTTTATGGCTTTAGGGTTTTAGGGCTTTAGGGTTTTACGCTTTTAGGGTTTGGAGCTTTAGGGCTTCAGGGTTTAGGGTTTAGGGTTTTAGGGTTTAGGTTTAGCGAGGGCTCCTGGTGGCCTCTGCCTCCAGGGTTCTATTATAGCTTTTAGCGGCTTGATGATAGGGGACAGGGTTCATAGATTATAGCGGCTTGTTAAGGGATTCATAGGAGCAATGCAGGCTTTGATAGGGTTTTACGGATTATAGCGGCTTGATGCTGAAGGATTTACAGGGATAACCTACTTGCTTCAAGACTTATAGGCTTTGCTATGATAGTATGTCACCTATGCACCTGTCCAAAATTGACCAGTGTCAGGGTCCCGCCACATCGAAGCATGAGTCCGTGCTCACCGCATGGATCATCTGGGACCGGGCGGTACTGCAGCTTTTTGATTAACGACATCTCGACACATTTCTGTGGCACTCATCAAAGTACCAGAGGCTCAGGCTAGTGCTGCAAGGCATCCGCCGCACCTTAAGCCCCATCCTCAAGAATCCTAAACCCTAAACCCTAAACCCCGAAGATGCCTGGTTTTGCGATTGTGTGAGTCGAAACCCCTAAGCCCTAAACCCTAAACCCCCAAGAACCCTAAACCCTAAAGCCCAAGAGCTGACCCCTAAAACCCCAGCGCCCTCCTAGCGAAAGCATCACACCCCAGCCCGCGAAGCCTTCCCCCTCATATGCTCAGCCCCGAACCACAGTTTGGGTTTAGGAGACAGTTCTAGGGTTTAGGGGTTCAGAGTTTAGGGTTGAGGGGTTTAGGGTTTAGGGTTAGAGGGGTTTAAGGTTTAGGATGCAACACATCAACAGTGGTGATGATGGCCCGCTCTTACTGATGGAACTAGTTCCGCAGGATTGGATTGATCGAGTCTCCCGTCTGTAGCCCCTGTAGATTCAGTAATGGTTCCTGCGGTGTCTAGCGAAGTGCTAGACAACCGCGCGGCTGACAGACCTCTGAGTCCGCGAGAGAGAGAGAGAGAGAGAGAAACTTGTTTTTTTTCGGTGTATGTAAACAATATGAATGAATATATATATATATATACAGAGAGAGAGAGATAAAGAGAGAGAGAGGGAGAGAGAGAGAGAGAGAGAGAGCGAGAGCGAGAGAGAGGGTTTAGGATGCGAGGCAAGCCGCTTCCCTCTGCCAACGGCCTCACGTTGCTGCACTCGGAATGTTTGGAGGCTGGGCCTTGAGAGAGTTGCAATATAGGGGCATTCATGATTAGAATAGGATTTGGGGGTAGGTTATACTATAGTCATAGTGAGGAGCCCCCAAAACCCATTCTAATTATTAAGGCCCCTACATTAGAATGTCGGGTTTAGAGTTCCAGGATGTTGGGTTCGGAGGTTGTTAGGTGTGGCTTTCGGGCCGCATGGTTTCCAGAAGCATTCCAGAAAGTCGGTATCGCAGATTCGAGGTCGATTCTTGACAGTCCTCAACTCCTAAACCCATATATATACCACGTGAGTAGTTTGTTCTCTAAATTTGGGGCCCTTTTTGTCCCCAATATAGCACGGCACCCGGAGGGCATTCAACTACCCAGCAGCCTGCGAAGCTTCACTGCACGAAATTTTTGTGTAGCCACGTGGTGATCAGCGGCTGCTCATGCAAAAATCTTGCTTTCATTTCAGGTCTTGGGCTTTTCAGGACCCCCCCTGCCTTCAATGGAGCCCCTCTGGTCCTCAAGCTTAGGGAGCCAATGGGGGAACTTGAAACTGTTTGGCCTTATATTATATATATACCATATATATATATATACATATGTATATGTGTATATACATATACAGATTTAGTCTAGAAGGTTTGAACTTGTTTGGGCCCGGGTGTTGAAGAAGGGAGATAGTGGCCTAAATAATTACCAATATTTTTCCATAGGATTCCTTATGATAAGTGTACTATAAGCTAGCCCAAAAATCTTGTTCTATTTATTAAGGCCCCTATATTAGCCACCCAGAGCCCCAAAACACTACCCTAAGCTGCCCTAAACCCTAAACTCCTAAAACCCAAACCCTGAACCCACTAAACCCAAGTTTAGATTGACTTGGGCAGGAGAGCTGTGAGTTCGTCATGACGACCCCGTCTGGTGGCACCAGCGAGCTGAAGGTACCCGGCTCCTTACCCTAAGGGTTTAGGGTTTAGGGTTTATGGCTGTAGCCCAGCTCTAGGCACCCTCCTCGGCATCGGGGGGTGGGTAGACATTAGTGGTCGGAATAGCAATCGTCGAGTGGCGGTGGCGGTGGTGGTGGCCCTGTGTTTTATGAGGCTTGAGGAGTCGCAGTTCGAGCATTTGCCGTGTTGATTTTTTTCTTGAAGTCGAGTTCGGTTTCCGGTTTTAGGATTGCTTGTTCAAGCAGTTGGGTAGGGTAGCGCGGACCTGAGGGCCGAAATCCTCCCAAGAGCTGGGTACCTGGGCTCTTGCATTCGAGCTGACGTTCTATTAGATGTAGTTTCGAAGCTACCTACGTCAGCAGCAAGCTCGTCATCCCTTGTCGTAGGTCCCAGGTATTGGGGAGGGTAGAGACTTGCTCTTCTTGGGAGAGGATCGACGCAAGCCCCGTAAAGCCGTTAAGAGACCCCTCGGCCGTCTTAAGCCCATAAGGTACCCCTCAGACCCTAGATCCTCAGAACACCCAGAACGGAGCCCCAAAACCCGAAATCCCCATAAAGCCCATAAGAGAGCCCCAAAACCCGAAATCCCCATACAGCCCATGAGAGACACCACCGGAGATTTTCGTGCCAAGTTGCTTCGTTTTGGGGAGGTCCGGGTGCCACCCAACTTCTCCGTGCTGCCCTGGAAATCGCTTCTGGGTGATCAGGCGGTTGCTCTTCTTACCTTAAACACCATAAACTTGTTTTTTCGGTGTATGTAAACAGTATGTGAATATATATATATATATATAGAGAGAGAGAGAGAGAGAGAGCGAGCAGGGATTCGGAGTTGAGGCTTGCCGTGTTGGACCCAAGTGGGGATTCTGGTTGTTCTAAGCTAGGGTTACATGGAAGGCACAGACGATTGGTGAACAAATATGTGGTTAGGAAAAGCATTCGTAAATCCTGACCGGCTTTAAAACAAGAATCCATCTGAACTCCGTGTCATGAGCTATTTTCCGGGTGGAGTCTGATCTCGATCTGCTCCGTTGGTACCTTCGTCCCTGTCACGAAGCAGTACTGTAGGATTTCAGGCGTTTGGTGCTTTCGGGCTGGGGACCCAACCGCCCCAACAAGACGAGCAGACAACACAGAACAACACAAAACACAAATGCTATTATGCATGTACAGGCAGGCAGGCATGTTTATAGTTGTGTACATAAGAATATATGTATACACACCTGCTAGCCACATAGACTGTTTTATAACACAGGCTACATTTGTCCAGCTATACAGAAGCTGCAGAGCAAGACCAGAGGGTACACACGGCAGCATTGCGAAGGCAATTTTGACACGAAGCTTTGTGATTTGCCCGTGCCCGTGCTGCGCCAACGCCTTGCTTTTGAGCGACTCGTAACAGTTACACACACACACACACACACACACGCACATAGGCAAGCGCTGGAGACGTGCATCGTACATCGTCGTATTTCTACATATGCACACATATAAAACATGTATAGGTCTAAGATACATAGATGCATCCCTGTGTGTGTGCCTGCATCTACAAACATATATACTTATGTACACACATACAAACCCTAAACCCTAAACCCCTAAAATACTCACGACTCGCAGATACTTGCAGGTCTTCTGCTTGCAGGCGGAGGATGTGACCCCCGAAGACGTACATGGAGCCCAGTGTCAGGTGGAACGTGCGACAGTTGTGTGAGATTGGGGCCTTTTGGCTTAAGCACTATAGGGCTCAGGGGTTCAAGTCTAGGGTTGGGTTCAGGGTTTAGGACTGGAGTTCGGATCAGTAATCTGAAACGGCATTGCAGGGTGTGGGAAACTGGCTGCGAGGAGGTTGGATTGGGGCTGGGCGTTGGGCATGGATATCGTCTGCTTTTCCTCGCTGCTTCTGCGCCCTGATCCCTAGACCCTGAACCCTGAACCCTAAACCCTAAACCCTAGTCTTAGGGTTTGGGAGTTCAGGGTTTGCATCCTGATTTTGCTCCTTGACGCTGTTTGGGTTCAGCTTTCAAGTCACTCCAGGAGACAAATTCTAGGCCGTTGTCAAAGGATCGGATGAGCCAGTATGCACGGTCTGTAAGTTCGGCTACCCGCTACCCAGCTTTTGCGACAGTCCGTGAGTCCCTCAACACCAGCTTCTAAATCCCAAAGCAGCCAAGCATGGGGAAAGTTGCCATAAACCCTAAACCCTAAACCCTAAACCCAGAGTCAGCTGGGTGGGTGGGGAAAGAAACAGAGTCCAAACCCCAAGCTCCAAACCTAGTAAGCCCTGAACCCCTCAACCCTAGCACCCTAAGCCGTAGCCACAGGCCCCATAGTAGTTCCCTTTTGGGATTACCTTATAGGATTCTAAAAGGAACTACTATGGGGCCTATAGGTAGCCCCCCAAAACCGCCAACATGGCTTTAACCCTAAACTATAAACCCTAAACCCTAAGCCCTAAACCCTAAACCCTAAACCCTAAACCCATGGAGCCTGCGCTTTCCGTGGCCAACATGGCCTCGGGGTCTCTGCTCCTCGAGATGGACGATGCAGAATTGAAGGCCACGGTTAAGGGTTTAGGGTTTAGGGTTTAGGGGTTTAGGGTTTAGGGGTTAGGGGTTTAGGGGTTTAGGGGTTTAGGGTTTAGGCTGTACCTTTAAAAGCGGTCCTGTAAGGGCTCCTTGACGTGGTTCTAGGATTCTAGGAGGTTGCCATGACAGGTACACAAAGAAAGCTACTAGAATGAGGGTACGAGAACATGGGTTCTATCAGGGCAGTGCAATCAGGGCTTCTCCACGGGTACTTTCGCAAGGGTTCAGGATTCATGTTTTCAGTGTTTAGTTGTTGGCTGGAGTCGAGGACTTAGGTTTTTATTAAATGGTGTTTTGCTTATTTGTCGAGCTCGGGTTTATCGTTCCAGGTTACGTTGGTTCTGTACAGCCTCACCCGCAGCCATAAACCCTGAACCCTGAAACATCCCCTCTTTAACCCTAAGCCCTTGCACTCTGAATCCGAAGTTCCTCCGTCCTACAACCCCAAACTCGAAGCCCCGAAACCCCCAAACCCTAAACACTAAACCCTCAAACCCCAAACCTTAGGAGCCGAGTGACATGCAGGCCTTGTGGACGAGCCCGGGCGGTGGCCTTCGTGCCCTCTCGTCGCGCCTCACAGCTTCTGGGACAGTCAATGTTTTTTTTTCAGCTTATAACCCCGAGGCCGTTCCAACTCCGCAGAGCACGCTTCTTAGGGCTTTAGGTTCTGGTCTCAGCATATGCTGTTGATGATATAGATGCAGCACTACGTTCTGAACCCTAAACTATGGGAATTATGGCATATTCCTTGGTACATTCCTTGTTATTATACCATCATCCGTATTATATGGGAAGTTGGGTGGGCTAGTGGCTGCCATTTGTAAACATTTTGCCGTACACATTTGCAGGGCAATCGCCACTTGCCGGATATGTTTTCTAGCGTGCTTTCCAGTTGCAGAGCGGAAATAAACCCTAAACCCTATAACCTTAAACCCTAAACCCTAATCGGAGTAACATCTCATTTTCAAGTCATCGTAGCCGGTAAGAGCCTTGAAGTTGCTAAAGGCCCCCGAGCCTCTGCACGCGGTATGGCTATGCTATGCTATGCCGCAAGATGAGCTAACCCTAAACCCTAAACCCTATAGACCCTAAACCCTAAACCCTAAGCCCTAAACCCTAAACCCTAAGCCCTAAACCCTAAACCCTAAACCCTAAACCCTAAACCCTTTATTCCCAAGAAGCCCTTGGGGCTCCTTTGTAAGGTGGCGACGGGCTGCCCGAGGTTTCGTCAGCGGCTGTTCGCTGAAGGCACCGGCCGTTTTGGGAGTTTACGCTTCAGAGCTTTAGGGTTTAGGGCCGTTTAGGGTTTAGGGTTTAGGGGTTTAGGGTTGTAGGGTTTGGTCTAGGGGTTTAGGGGCTTACCCTAACGCCCCCAGGTACCTGCTATATAGGGTACTAGAGCCTGTAAGGCCCTATCTATTAGGTACCTGCAGGGTGGGGGAATACGGTTGAGACTCAGCCGGCGAAGCTGGAAGCCCGTTGCAAAGAAGAGACTCAGACTCAGACCGCTTAATTTCGGAGCTTGGAATGTTCATGCAATCCGTAGCTGTAGAAGAACCGGTGCTCGTACTGGTTCTCGTTTCTCGTGGTCATGTGATCATGCCAGTTGAACATAAGTACAGCAATCTCCTTGTCGTGTGCAACAATCAGCGTGAGAAGCAGGAACTCTAATGTCTAACTATTCGTGGCATGGCATTCTTTCCACGCTGACCCGATTTCCGTGGCCTAAAGAAGCTCCCAATTCTTTCTTCCTTCGTATCTTCCTGGCTTTCCCGCTGAGCCTTAAGCAGGTGATCTCGTTGCTGATGAGTCTGCACTTCTGTCGCCTTGCTCTCTGCAGCTGGCAACTGCGGCCGCAGTAACCTGCTTTCATGTCTAGAATTGGATGAAAGCCTTAGCCTTGAACGTCCGACCCCCCCAACCAAGAAGCCTACGATGCCAAGCCCTAGACAGTTTCATGTAGGTCCGAATCTTCGCGTGATCAAGGGATGCAGTTTCCAGGTTTGCACTTATAATTTTGTGCGTGTCAATAGTCAATATTGATCATACACACGAACATAATTTCGCATACCGACATACTGCCGTAGAGACATAGAAGCGTTTGGACATAAGTATCTACCACCTACGTACCTTCCTACCTGCTTACGTAGAACTGCGTGTATGCATGAATGTAAGTAACATATGAGTAGCATGTGCCACATACCCTTCCATGCACGCAAACATGCAGGCGGCAGGTGGGAGTTACAGTTAAGTTACCATCATAAATACTACGGAATCCTGATGATTCCTGAAATCCTAAGCCCTGCTCGTCCTTGCTAAGTGGGAAGAAATGAAGCCAGACTGCTCGATGTGGAGCATTGTGGGAGAGTGACAGTCCTAAACCCTAAACCCTAACTAAATGGGGCCTTACCCATAGGCCCTAAAGTAGTTCCTTTTTGGGGGTTCATATTTAGAATCCGATAAGGTAATTCCAAAAAGGAGCTACTATGGGGCGTATGGGTACGGCCGAGCCTGGAGGTTTTTGAGTTGGTCGGACTCTGAGGCGCAGAATCGGCTGCTCTAGTAATAGGGATGTATTTTGGGGATCTGAATGGCCACGAAGAAAAACGAAGAAGACTATCCCCGATGATCCACCCTAAACCCTAAACCCTAAACCCTAAACCCTAAACCCTAAACCCTAAACCCTAACCCTAAACCCTAAACCCTAAACCGTTAACGCAATTTGAGGGATGGTGATACGTGCCATTCCTAGTGCCAATGTGCACATCGTCGTGTACCAGGAACCTCGCCTAGACATGTTCGAGAGTGAGTGCTGAAACTCTAAACCGATCCCTGTGGAGCAGAGGTTAAAGCTCCTGAATACTGATTTAGGATGTCAAGCCTCGGGTCTTACGGAGATGGAACTCCAAGTCACATGGGTGGTTGTCAAAATTATGGTCCCTTTTGGGGTACCCTGAATAATAGGTGCCGTATTATCATAATGACCCAAAAAGGGACCATAATCCCCACATATCTCTGGCCACCTCCATGCCAACACACTGCAGAGGGCCCAGGCTTCCCTGCAGTCCGGAAATGCGACAAGCTCAATGTCGTGGTTCGGGTTTAAGGTTTAGGGGTTAGGGTTTAGGGTTTAGTGTACGAGGCCTGCTGTAAAAAGGGTTTAGGGTTTAAGGTGCTGTGCGATGCGGGTGTTCTAGGTGCTACTGCCGGTGTGCGCGACTACTTCCAAGCAGCGGGAGCAGGTGCGACTCCAAGTCTGCCTAAGGAAGGGTGTGGTTCACGGAGTGCGAAACCCAAAACCCTAAGACCCGGCAGCAAGACCCCTAAACCCTAAACTGTGTACGGTATTCGGCACATAGGTTCTAAGTTGGTATGAAGGAGTGTTGGGTTTCGTGGATAGACGTTACGGCCCACGAGGCTGTGTGTTGGGTAAGAGCTTGATCTTTGGCGGAAGTTTGAACGCGGCTTCGCGTGAGGACTGGTATGCCCACAGCGGCTGCATTTTTTGAAGTTTGCGGTGATGTGCTAGGGTTTAGGGCTTCAGGGTTTCCTGAACCCTAAGCCCTATCCACATCCAATCCCGTGCTTGTCCCTCTTCGGTGGCTTAAGCAGCGACGCACTCAGAGCCCAGTCGCGTCACCCAGACATTGCTATAGGGCACCGGCAATCTCCGAGTTCGGTGCCGGGTCACCTTGGAGCCTTGTTAATTAACATGAGTTGGATGCCTTTCTGGGGGGTCTTCTTATGGGTCGTAGGGGTCCTTACGATGAGGATCCCTACTGCTTGGGGACCATTTGCGGTTGATGGCCCACTGACTTGCAAGATCCTTGCTGAGTTGCTGTGCTTTGACTTCTTGCTACTGGGGTTTACCTTAAGAACCCAAAACCCACTTTTCTGTAGGTTCTCATTATAAACCCTAATATGGGATTTATAGGGACCCTACACAAAAGTAGGTTTTGGGTTCTTCAAGCATTTAAACAAGCTGTTATTATTCTATAACAATGATGAAGATATTTGTATGTGTATCATGAAATGTTTGTATTTATAAACAATGTGTACCATGATGACGATGATTCGGTAGGGTTCTCAGGGATTGTCAAGGCCGCCGGCCGGCACCTGAGTCCGTGCTGAAAAAACGGGGCTTTAACGATCTGAACCATGCATCGCAATATTCCGCAATATCCCTGAGGGTTTAGGGTTGAGGGTTTAGAGTTTAGGGTTTAGGGTTTAGTAATCCCTGAGCGCCCATGTACCCAAATAGTATATACATTGGCCCCAAAGTACTTTTCTAGGGACTACTCTAAGGCCAGAGTATATCTATTTGGGTACATGGACCCCCTAAACCCTAAACCCTAAACCCTAAACCCTAAACCGCTGGACCCTTAGGGTATGCTTCAGCCGCAGGTCGGGAAGGCCATCTTGCTCCAACAGCCGACGGTGGTGGAGGACTTCCTTCGAGAGGTGAGGTCAGGTTTAGGGTTTAGGGTTTAGGGTTTCAGGGTTTAGGGTGTAGTATGTGCTATGCCTTGGAGGGTGGCTCAAATGTCTCAGGAGTAGAATAGGTAACCTGAAACTCTGGGTACACAAATCCCAAGCCTTTACCTGTAGGCCCCATAGTAGTTCCTTGTTGAGATGACCTTATAGAGTTCTAAATATGAACCCCAAAAGAAACTACTATGGGGCCTATAGGTACAGCTCAGGGGAGCACACTCCATATACTTGCTGTGTTAATTTGATCTGTTTCTACGTGACTGTGCGCTTGCGGCACTTGCTGCTATGGCCGTTGGCTCCCGCTTCCCTTCGATATTCGTTGCTCCCAAACCCAAAACAGGCCGTCCGCCGCCCGGATGCATGCCGTGTCTTCACAAGATATTGTAACTCGGAAAAATTACCCGAGCCATACTAGCAGTTCCCATTATTGTAACCCAAGTTCCTGTTATATCGGTACTCGGGATATTTAAATCTAAGAATTAGCAGATGAGCCTCCCCCCTCCGCCGGGTTGTTGTACGTGCGCCGAAGGGCTTTGCCTAAAAACTAAACCTCTAAACAATAGATTGTCCGAGTGCAGGCGCTGAAACTCGAAACCCTAAACCCTAACCAACCCCTAAACCCCTAATTTGCCTTAAACCCTAAACCTTAGCCCCTAAACCTTTAATCCCCCAAGCAGCAAACCCCAAATCCTTTCAAAATAAACCCTAAACCCTAAACCCTAACCCTAAACCCTAAACCCTAGACCCTAAACCCGGAGAACCCAGGAGCTGCTGCGGCTCTGCCACGACCCGAACATGCTGGTTCCCCACGGCCGCAGCGCCCTCCACGCGCTGACGGCCCCTTTGGGAAAAAAAACAGCGGCCTAAATGATTACCGATATTTGGGGTTTAGGGGTTTAGGGGCCTTGCTGTAGGGTTTAGGGTTTTAGGGTTTAAGTCTTGAGCGTTTAGGCTTGAGGCAGGGTTTAGGGGTGCCTTACTGTTGGGTTTCTTGTCGTAGTGATCTGTAGTGATCGAATGAAAAACCTCAAAACGCTATTCCAATTATTCAGGCCCTTATACTTGCATCTCTATGGGAGCCCAAAAAGCAAACCGACAGTCAGCCTCGTGACGGCAACATCCGTTCAAGATAGGGGCCTTGATAGTTAGAATAGGGTTTGGGGCCCATTATCCTTTGATTACAATGGGGACCCCCCCGCCAAGAACATAGTCTTGTTAACTATTTAGGCCATTACTAAATTACATTAAGCAGATTGATGAGGGTCTAGGGTCTAGGGTTTATCGTTTGCGTGGCTTTGTGGTCCTTGGGCAGTGAGAGCCCTTATCTTCTGTCAGCCAGATGTCGATTCGTTGGTGTTGACCCGAAGCACGGCATTCTACTTCAGGAGCAGGAGCGAAAGGCACCCTAAACCCTAAACTCTAAACCCATCGCGAATCATTCGAAGCACTAGCACACCATGAAGCCTACATAGTTACGCCATGTTAAACCCCAAACCCAAACCCTCAGTCCTGAAGCTGTATACCCTAAACCCAATGCAAACCCTAAACCCCTTAAAATCATTCTAGACCTTCTAAGCCATAGTACCGCTCAAAGTCTAGCGACGGCAACCCTTCGGCTAGCAGGTGGCGGCAATCAACGGCAATTGCGAGTGCCTGCGTCTTCTTCTGGAGGCGCGGTACGGTGCAGGGTTTACCCATAGGCCCCATAGTAGTTCCTTTTTGGGATTACCTTATAATAGGATTCTATATATGAACCCCAAAAAGGAACTACTTTAGGGCCTATGGGTAGCGCTTTTTTGGCAGGTGCTTCGCGTTGGGCGGGTGTTTGCAAATCAGCTTTTCCTACCATGAGGGACAGGTCCGGCATTCCATGCGCCCGGGATGCGAACCTGCTACAGACTTAGTGGGGCGAGGATAGATCCGATTTGATAGGGTCTGGTGCTTTCTGCATTGAAAGTTCCTGCTCGCACCCGCGGGATCAGAACTCCGATGACTCCAAGCTCCTGGGGGAGAAGTTTTGGTGGCGCGGGATCGTCGTAAACAGCTTCTACTCATGACACGCATGTCATCACATGTCGAAACTTTCTAAAACTCCAAAGCTTAATTTGAAAAACCTATGTCCGAGTTGTGAGAGCGTCGTTTGAAGAACCTGAGTCCGAAGCAGGAGCATACATAGATCCCCTCTTCTCAGGCGGAGGCCGACGTGGACGTCTCCAAGGCTTTGGGGACCCCAAAGCCCGAGTGCGAGAGTCCAAACCCCACAGACTAAGCCCGGATAGTAACAGTTTTTGTTTAGGGTTTAGGGGGTTTAGGGTTTAGGGTTTTTGTAGAAACCCTTCTAGCAACCAAGTTGTAACATGTTTGACGGCAGTTTTTATGAACCCTACGCAGAAACCCTAGATCTAGCTCGCCCTGATAGTAATCCGGAAATCAAAGGCAACCCTAATTTTAATATAGGACCCTGCCCTTAAAGGGACCCCGATTCTTGACCCCTAGAGTAGCCTTACAGGAAATCCCAGAAAGGAACCCTAAAACCCTAAAGCCCTAAACCCTAAACCCTAAACCGAAGGACCCCGATCATTGAACCCTTTAGTCCCCTAAAGCCCAAAGCCTAAACCCTTAAGGGATATTATAGGGTTCTATAACAGGGTTCCCTTTGAGGGCTCGTTTTAAGGGATATTATAGGGTTCTAGAATCGGGTTCCCTTTAAGGGCTCCCGGATATTGCAGGGGGTCCGTTGAAGGGCTCCCGGATATTATAGGGTTCTATGGTAGGGTTCCCTTTAAAGGCTCCCTTTGAGGGATATTATCGGGGTTCCCTTTAATAAGGGCTCCTGATATTATGGGGATCTATGATAGGGTTCCCTGTAAAGGCTCCCTTTGAGGATATTATAGGGGTTCCCTTCAAGGGCTCCCGGATATTACAGGGTTCCCTTTAAGGGCTCCCGGATATTATAGGGTTTCTAGAATAGGGTTCCCTTTAAGGGCTCCCGGATATTATAGGGTTCTATGATAGGGTTCCCTCTGAGGGCTCCCTTGGGCTCCCGGATATTATAGGGTTCTATGATAGGGTTCCCTTTAAGGGCTCCCGGATATTATAGTGTTCTATGATAGGGTTCCCTTTTAAAGGGCTCCCGGATATTACAGGGTTCTATGATAGGGTTCCCTCTGAGGGCTCCCGGATATTATAGGGTTCTATGATAGGGTTCCCTTTAAGGGCTCCCTTTGAGGGATATTATTGGGGTTCCCTTTAAGGGCTCCCGGATATTATAGGGTTCTATGATAGGGTTCCCTGTAAAGGCCCCCTTTGAGGGATATTATAGGGGTTCCCTTTAAGGGTTCCCTTTGAGGGATATTATAGGGGTTCCCGCCAAGGGCTCCCGGATATTATAGGGTTCTAGGGGTTCGGTTCGATGATAGGGTTCCCTCTGAGGACTCCCTTTGAGGGATATCATAGGGGTTCCCTGTAAGGGCTCCCGGATATTATATGGTTCTATGATAGGGTTCCCCCTAAAGGCACCCGGAATCGCAAGGCCTCCGGCCTGACCGCTTTGCAGTGGGCGGCGCGGAAGGGGCACGTGGAGGCGTCTCAGCTGTGCCTTGGGCGGCTCGTGGGGATTGAGGAAGGGGCTTTCAGAAGGGCTTAAAAAAAAGGACCTCGATAATTACCTATACTATTTTGGGGGGGTTCCTTATTCGGATTTATCAGGAGGAAAGTAAAGGGTGAATTCGGGTTTGATAGGGTACCTGGAGAGCCCATTATACCCCTCAATGCAGCAACATACCTGAACCAGCAAATATATTCCTCACCCTTAACCCTAACCCCCCAGTTACCTACTATATAGGGTACTAGAGCCTGTAAGGCCCTATATAGTAGGTACCTGGAGGGTTAGGGTAAGGCATGGGGGCTTTCTGGGGAGTTGTTTCCACCCGTCATTTGCGATGAGACCCAAACCCTGAACCCTAAACCCTAAACCGAGGTGATTGCACGAGTCCTCATGCTCAAGCGGCGTTCTACAGTAAGCTTAGGAGCCCAGTAGGTAAACTTTAAACTTTTTGGTATATTAAACCCCCTACTAAAAGAAAAGTTTAAACTTTTTTGGGCCAGGGTACTGGGCTTAAAGGTAAGGGCTATCTTCTGAGGGGTTTTCAATCTCATGAAGGTTCTCGACTAGCCCGAACTTTTGCAACAGGGACTTGTGGCTTTAGGCTTTTTGGTGTCCGGGTTGTTGGTAGGCTTGGGGGTTTGGGGTGTGAGCTCGGGCGGTATGGTGCCTTTCAGGTTGTTGGGTTGAAGCAACACGGGACATGGCAGCGTCAAAAGCTCGTAGATCCTGAACACGGGGCAACGCCGAAGGTTCCGAGTCAGTCGGATTGGTGTTGTGATGTCTTACTGTAAGTTGTACGTAGCCAAGGTTGAAGGACTTGGACACTTTCTGTTCGATGGTTGCAGTATTGCTCGTAGCCTTCTATGCGTAAGCCAGCTCCCAACCGTCGGGGCCTCATTCTCTTTCTCTCTTCGGCTTGCACCGTGCTGACACTCTGAACCGATTTCTACGTGCCTGAACCCACCATGCCAAATCCGAAATGGTAAGTTCGAACTCCCTAAACTCCTAAAACCCGAAACGAGGCTCGTATCGGCCATGGCCGACGTAGACAAGGCCATTGGCACTGCAGACACGGGCTTTTAGGGCTTGCTGGCCAAGGGCAGAGCTTGAACGGCTTTCTGCTTGCTCTTGTGGTTGAGTCACACTCCCAAACCCTCTTCCTCGGATGCTCGAAGTCGCGGACAATCAGTATGACAGACGCCATGCTAAGTATGAGAAATCCTTTTGGGGGACAGCTCGAGGCTGATTCGATGCACGGTTTGGCATGATCGGAGGCAAGTTAGGGCCTACATTACTTCCAGCTCACGAATTTCGAAGTGCATCGTTCCGGCAGGCCGACGGAACTCCAACTGCCCTGCAGCTTGCAGCAAAGTGCGGTCACGTTGATGCTTTGATGATTTAACTGTAGTTACCCATAGGCCCCATAGTAGTTCCTTTTTGGGGTTACCTTATAGGATTCTAAATATGAACCCCAGAAAGGAACTACTATGCGGCCTATAGGTAGGCTTGGGCTCGTCGAGAACCTTCTCTGAAGCCCGCCCAGCTGTGCGTGCACTGAGGAAATCGTGGCTTCGTTGCTGCAAGCGCGGGCGAACCCCGACAAGAAAGCTTGGGGCGGTGCACAGGGTGCCTCTACAGCGTTGCAACAAGCCTCGGAGAATGGCCACCTGCAGATCGTACGGCTTCTAGTGGATGCAGGAGCAGACAAGGACCCCGAAGACACTTTGACGTCAGTGCTTCATTTCAAGACCTTCATGAGTTCTGGTGCATCTAATTTTTACGTTCACCCCCCCCCCCCGCACCGGCAGAGTTTGACGATCTGACTTCTATCATTTCCCATGGTAATTCAAGCAAGCTGCAGTCCATTCTTTGTTGTCTCGGTAGGAAGTGGATTTACGTGGATAGCATGATTAAGCTCCTCACATCTCCTTGCCATGGTGAGCAACTAATCTCTTGCAGTTGGGAATAAGACGCGCGACCCGCAGTGTCCCTGCACGGAAAGGAGGCGGCTGGTCCTGTTGACATAGGCATGACCCCGCTGGGCTGGGCTTGCTACTGGGGCCATTTAGAGATTTGCCGACTCCTTGTGGAGGCGAGAGCAGCGTTGAACCGTGGCTGCACTGCGGGCAGGGACCTACTTTTTTGAGCATAAGACGCCCGATAGGATCCCTTATAAAACCCTCATGTAGTAACATTATTCCTTAGGGTTCCTTCTGATAATTACAGCATAATCTACCCCGGGCTCCTTCTTATAATCTAGGTAAAATGTAGGACCCCAAAAGCCCTCAGAGGCTTTGTGTTCCAGATTTTTGGGAGCTACTTGCGAGAAGCCACCTGAAGGGGCTCGAAGCTGCGGTGGCTACATCGGGTTCATGGGGCCAATATAGGAGCTTAAATAGTTGCCAATATTACTTTTAGGCTTCCTTATTCCAATATTACTATAAGGAGCCCAAAACCCTATTCAAATTGTTAACAGGGCCCCTACATCAGGTGTTGTTGTTGCCCCACCCCCCCGGCCCTATCCGGTGTGCTTCTCGAATTCCTCAATTCCTCTCCTCGATGTTCAGCTCAAAGGAACAGCTAGGACGAGAAGGGCAGCACGCCATTGCTGCACGCATCTGGCCGTGGGTACATGGAAATTGCCCGGTTGCTGGTGGAGGCTGGCGCAGAGGTCCCAGACACAGCTCGCGAAGTTGATCCGGTGGCGCAGCTTTCTGTGACTGTTTCGAGCCCAGCGCGGCGTGCAGACATCTGAAAAAAGGGCCGGGATCTCCCTGCTGTCGAGGCTGTTCAGATGCTGATACTTCGGAGGGAGACGAATGTGAATCGCACTAGGTCCCCATCATCTGGTTTTGGAGGATCTGGTCTCTGTGTGCGTTCTGTTATGCGTGCAAAGCAGGCATTAACGAAGGTCAAAGGTTGTCGTCCTGGTCATCTCTCTGTTGTAAAGATGAATAGTCCTGCAGGAATGGCAGGTTCCTAGTGGCCCAGGTATCAAGAGTCAGCAGGAGGACTCCTGCTGCTGCTGTTGCTGCCGCTGCACTGATACCATAACTAACGGTACCAGTGCACTGACATCATCTAAACCAGTGAGCGACCGTGATGATCACGACGGGCATCAGCAGCAGATGCAGCAGCAGCAGCTGCAGCAGCAGCAGCAGCAGCAGCAGCAGCAGCAGCAGCAGCAAACCGCTAGCGGCAAACACCAAACAGCAAACAGAAACAGCAGCATCATCATCAAAAGCAGCTGCAGCTACAACCAAGATTACAAGTACAGCTGCTGACCACCACCACCGCCGCCGCCACCACCACTACTACTGGTATTACTGTCTACGACTGCGGCAACGACGACTGCCACTTCATGTCGTTCCATCATTGTCATCTTTACTGCTTTAGTCGTGATGTTGCAGCGAAAGTCGCAGCCGGCCTGTCCAATTCGCAAAATCCAAAGCCAGGCATTAGTGTTCCGTCCGCGCCTGGTGCTGACGAATGCCTCCGACGAGGGTCTGGACTCCGTTCCATGGCCATGGGTAGGGTTTAGGGGTTTGTCGGTATCGGTTGTTGCAAGTCTTTCCCGGTAGAGTCGCTGCAGACCGGACGCAAAAGGGTTTAGG